CTCCCCCCCCCCCCCCCCCCCCGTTGCCCTTTTCTCGACTTGTTTGGGTGTGGCAGGAGGATCACGCGAACTGGGCGGAGGGTCCCCGCGTTGTGTACGTCTCTTCCCGAGCTGGGACAGTCCTTCAGGTGCGCTTGTGTCTGTCTGTCTGTCTGTCTGTCTGTCTGTCTGTCTGTCTGTCTGTCTGTCTGTCTGTCTGTCTGTCTTTCTCGGTGTTCTTGCTCTACGTGCGTGTGACATGGTGAGTGTTTGTGTCTCTTGTCTGTCTCGATGCTCTGCGTTACGCGCGTGTGGTAATGTAAGATGAGAGTCATGGTTGCCTTCTGCTGAGTTTGGAAGAGCCTTTTAGTTCATCTTTGTTGTTGGCACACAAGTCAAGGCTAGCTGTGCGAACTACTATGAGGCTGTGGTCCGACGTTGGCTTTTACTATCATCAAACGGTGGTAACTGATTTTTGTCATTGTGCTTGATGCCCTGCCATTTCCGTGGAGCAAACTCGTTCATGTCGTCGCGGGCGTGCAGCGTATACGCATCCCGGCAGACTAAATCTACCCAACCCTGGTAAATACCGCCCAGTGCAACACCTAGGGACTAAAGACGTGATGTTCACTTGTTGACCGCGAACGGGAGGGCCAAACGAAGTACAACCTATGTAGCTACAGCGTGTCGTTGCTCTCGAACTAATCTCACCGGGCTTAATAGCCGTTAGCCGACTGTTCGATTGCGCTTGTGTGGCCACTCCGTCCGTACACACGCTTCGGTGCGCGGGAATCTTAACCCCGACTGCTCTCTCTCTCCCTCTCTCTCTCTCTCTCTCTCTCTCCCTCTCTCTCTCTCTCTCTCTCTCTCTCTTTTTCCTGTCCCCAACTAGGTGAGCTACCACACACGCAACCTCCTGTGCGTCTTGCAGCTCCACAACGGGCCCATCCTGTCGTTGGAGGTGAACGAGGACCACGCTATCACCGGATCCGAAGACAAGGTCCTGCGCATGTGGCCCCTGGACTTTTCCGACTTCTTGATGGAGGCGGCGCATGAGGTGAGGGGTCCCGCGAGGGAGGGGAGGGGGGGGGTTACGCTTGTGCTGTGGGCCCGCCGATCGGGTCCATGCGTGGTGAAGGGTGGTACACAAAAGCAGACTGTTTGTTCACGGGCTGTTCACGGGCAGTCTTGGTTACGTGTGTCCGATTTTTGGTGGGGTCTTCAGGCGTCTGTTCCACAACGAATTGGGCCGACAGAAGAGACTGTTTATAATGTCTTGCTCAGTCTGTTGTTTCCATGGGGGGCGGGGGAGAGATTCGGACAGGCCACCAGACCATGCAGTTAATTCGTAAACTCATTACCCATGTGCCCGGCATCTACCAAATGTTGTTGTTTGTCGCCCGTTCTCCCCCGTCCACCGACATCATCTTTCGCCCCGTGGTTGGCCCCTATTGTAGTCGCCGGTGGTGTCGGTGTGCACCAGCAAGGACGGGCTCAAGCTGGCCGTCGGCACGGCCGGCGGCTCGATCAGCGTGCTGGACGTGATGACCCACGGCTACACCACGGCACTAAGGTCGCACCGGGGCGGGGTGACGGCCGCCGCGATCGACCCCTCGGAGGAGCGGGATGACTTCGCCACGGTCTCGGAAGACTGCACCATAAGGTACGGCGGTATGCATATACACGGTGTACCGTGTGTGTTTTCGGTGTACCGCAACCGCATGGTGCGAAGACTACACCATAAAGGCACACTATTTCATGTACCGCGTACCACAACTACTTGGTGTTTCGGCTGGGCTGGCCGGCCGGTGCTGTGCTTGCTAAGTAGAAGCAGCAGCCTGTGCATTGAGAGGGACGACGGGGGTATGCTCCTACACATGTATGTGTGCCCAACAGGGGGGGGGGGTGGGGTCGTTCTGGCTGACGTCTTTTTCGGTAATTCCGATCCCCCAATCCCTGAGTTCCCCGGCTGACCCACTTCCCCCCATGCCTCTTCTTGAAACGATGCATGCGAAAAACGGCAAACCAGGGTCTGGGACCTGGTTTCGGGGGTGCAGCGTTACCAGTTCTCCTCTCCCACCGACCGGCCCACCTGTGTCGCCTACGCCCCGAAGCCGCCTCCACCGCAACCGGAGGGTTGCGGTGGCGGTGGCGGTGGCGGGGGTGCGCCGGAGGAGGAGGGCGGTGTCGAGCACGCCGCTGCGGCCGGGGCCGGGGCGGGGGGGGACGAGCGGTGGCACCTCGTGGCCGGCTACGCGAGCGGGACGGTGAGGGTATTTGACGTGCCGTCCACGAGCACGCTGCTGGAACTCGAGCAGCATCGGAACGCGGTTCAGCAGGTAAGCATTGCGGGGGGCAACCGTTCGTTTGTTTGTTGCATGGGGTTTTGCCGCGGTTGGTTGTAGAGAAGAGAGGGTTTGTTTTGGGGGCCCCGTTCGATTCGTAGCCAATGCTTGTGGATGTGTGTGTTTGGCCCGTGCTTCCTGTTGGCGGTGTTCATGTGTGTTGTTTGGTTTGTAGTTACATGGCGATGGTTTTCTGACCCCCCCACCCAGCGTTGTGTACTACATGATATGGTAGACAACAACCTAAACACCATATGATTTACCCGACTGGGGATGAATTGGCGTGATGCCTGCTGCTTTTGCTGAGAACAACCTAACACCTGTGTCGTCCCCGCCGTGCGAGAGAAGTCACGGGCATGGCCGCCTACTTTTGATGTGAACCTCCCCCCTATTATGCTCCGTCCTCTCGAGGACGCGTGGTCCATGGCCTAACAGCTAAGGCATGCAAAACATGCGAACCCCCCCCCCCCCAATTCGTAATTTGTCCCCGTTTTTCACGACTTCTTTCTCGCGTTTTACGCCGCCGTTCACCAATTTTTGCTTGTCTCTCTTTTCGTTGTTGGTCCGCCCCACCGTCCCGTCCCGATGACGGACCGCTGTCTCGCCGGCAGGTGACGTTCACCCCCGACGGCACTCGACTTATCTCCGCCGGGGAGGACGGTCTGCTGTGCCTCTTCGACGTGACACAGGGCTACCGCCCGTCGAGGGTGATGGCTTGCGACGAGCCGCAGCCCGGGCGACCGATAAACCTCTCCGTAAGTCAGTCACTCACATCAACGTGGTAATGGAGTACGGTGGTAGTAGAGGTGGTGTCCGATCGCTCTTGATGGTTGTTGAATGTATGGGTGTGTTTTTTTTTTTTTTTCGTGTTTGGGTTGCGGCGGCGGCGGCGGCGGCGGCGGTGGTGGCGCCCACGGTCCGCAGATGATGACGACGACGACGACGAGGAGGAGGACTACAGATGCGGGGGAGGCCGGTCGGGCAAACAGCAGCCGCCTGTTCTTTATGCTGTACCGTACGGTTCCTTTGTGGGTTACCTTCCTTCGAGGGGGGTTTAAACAAGTCCTTCCCCCCCCCTCCGTCGCCGCATCCGCCTTCCACGGTGTTGTTCTTTCTCCTGGCGCACGCTTCCTTCCTCCGTCTACAAAAAAAAAAACTCTCTATATATACATATATATATTACAGGTTTCTCCCGGGAGCGATCGCCTCGCTGTCATCGGCACCGAGCCTTCGTGCATCCTGCTCTACGACTTGGCGACCCTGGCGCTCAAGGGACGACTGGGGAAGCCTGGTCGAAGAGGAGGGGGGCGTTTGGTGTCGGGGGTCGGCGGCGGCGGCGGCGGCGGGGGGCCAGGCATGCTGCAGCCGTGGTCGCACCGGCCGGGTTCGTCTGACGCGGCGCAATCGCCGGGGGGCGCGGCGGCGGCGGCCGCGGCGAGCGGGGGTTTTCTCCACGCGGCGTTCTCCGGGGACGGGGCGGATCTGCTTGCCTGCACGACGACGAAGCTCTTCCGGTTCCCCTTGGGTGGCGGGTGAGAGACCGACCGTCAATAGATGGCCGGGGAGCATTGTTGTTGTTGATTCGGCGATGGTGGGCTGGCATCTCTGTCTCGTAGAAGTTCAATGTGCTAACGGTGGTAGACAGCAGCATATGTGTTTTGGGAGATGTGGGAAGATTAACAAAGCGTTGCAAACAGCTGTACTCCCCGTGAACAACGCGATCCCTGTGGGTGATTTAGGGCCGAGGACGGCCCTCTGTCCTGTGTTGCATATTACGCTGCTTCCGCTGCTTGCTGGATGCCGCGTCCTATTAAACAACACAGGACACGTAGTTCCTCAGAGCGTATTGTAACTGTTTTTCTGAACGCTCCTCCGCTCCCTGCCCATCGTTGCTTCTCTGGCTGTACGCGGCTTTAACCTTACGCCTGCGTGCTTGCTTACCGGCTCTGCCGCCACCCACCACCCACAGGGACGTACACGCCTGGTCGGCCCTACTCCCTTGCAAGGCCGGGCCCGCGATGGCGGCCTGCAACCCGGCAACCGGCCCCGGCCTAATCTTGGTCTCGCCGGCGGAACCTGTGGCTGGCGCCGGGGAACCGGCGACGGCAAGCACGGCGTCCGCTTGGGGCGGCGAGGCGGGCTGCTGGACGGGCGGCGGTGGCGGCAAGCGGGGCTCTGCGCCGAGAACCTTGGGGGGGGGAGGCTCCGCGCTGGCCCCTTCCGAGCTGTTCCTGTCCCAGGTCCACCGCGACGAGCGTAACGCCTCCGTGGTGATCTCGGCTCCGCAGGCCTTCGCCGCGCACGCGTCGCCGGTCACCGTGGCCGCTTTCTCCGCCGGCGGCGACCGCCTCGTCACCTGCGACGGCACCGGCGTCGTGCTCCTGTGGTCGAACCTGGCGGCGCCGGCGCCGGAAGCGTGGGAGGCGCCGCCGCTGCCGCTGCCGCGGCGATCCGGTGGGGAGGCTTGTGGTCTGGCCGGGAGGAGCGGCGGCGGCGGGCTGTTCGGTGGCGACGGCGTCGAGGCGGAGGAAGTCAAGGCGGGGGCGGCGGCAGGTGCTCCTGTGATTGTGGATGATGTAGGGCACGGGGAAGGAGGTCTGGCGTTACGTGTAAGAGTCCCCGCCGAAGGTGACGTGGGGCAAGAGGAGGAGGAGGGTTTTGCGAAGACAGCGCCAATGCCAGTAGCAGCGGGGTCTTCGGCCGACTTGGTGACGCCGATGGGGCCAGGGCCGAGAGCAGCGGGAACAGGCGGACCAGGCGGGTACGCCTCCATGCTAGACCAAACCCCGTCTCCGACGGCGGTGCAGAACCCGAGTCGCAGCAGCAATGCCACGGCGGTAGCGCCGGCGGCAGAAGGCAGAGGAAGCGAACGCGCGGGTTCCGGCCCGCTGGCGGAGGCAATCCAGGCGCTACAGACGGTCGTCGACGACGCTGCCGCCGCGGTGGGGGAGGGGGACGACGGCGGCGGAATGATCGGCGGCGCCGTGCGGCCGCCCCGAGCGGTGGTCGAGATAAAACGGCATCGCTTCGGAGGAGCGGCGGCGGAGGTTGCTGCCAGCGTCGTCGAAGACTGTGATAGCGGTCGTCACTCCGATAGCGGCGGAATCGAGGCATGGGAGGACTCGGCCAACGACGATGAAATGGTCGCTTCGAGGGGAGCGGGAGGCAGGAGAGCGGCGCCGGCGGCGGAAATTCGTCCAATTTCTGGCCGGGCTTCTCCAGCTGCGGAGCGATCAGGGACGGCGATGTCGCCGTTAACGTGGCACCCGGCGTCCGCCCGGCTGTTCTACGCGGAGGGCTCCTCGTTGTACGCGGAGGACTTGGAGTCGTGCCGTCGGTGGGCCTTGCTGTCGAGGGAAGGCGGGGGTGTCGCCCCCGCGTCCTGCGTCGCCGTTTCTTCGGACGGGCATCTGGTCGCGCGCGGGGTGTCTTCGCAACGCCCGGGGGGTATCAGCAGCGGCAGCAGCGGAGTGTCGTCGTCCTGGCTGTCGGTGTGGCGCTTGGGGCCCGACTCCTCGATGCCACAAAAGCCGCGTGACGGCGACAGCGGCGACGCGAATCGGAGCAAGGCTACCTCGCGCTCCGCCACCGCCACCGCCGTCGATGCGTGCGAGGAGGTGGGCGTCGTCGGGAGCAGCGGGGGAGGCGGCGTGTCGGCGCTGGCGTTCTCGCCCTGCGGTGCGGACCTGTGCTCCTTGGGCGAGTGGGACGGGACCAAGTGCCTGCTCGAGGTGCGCCCCACGTCGGCGTTTGTCGCCGCCGCCGCCGCCGCCGCCGCCGCCGATAACTCGGGGTCCGCCGCTTCCTCGTCGTCGGTGCAATCCGCGGCGAGCGTCGCCGTCGTAACCCCGCTCTCGGTGAAGACGTCGGCCATCTGCGCGCTGCCACCACGGAAGGCCGCGGCGGCGGCAGGAGAACCCGAGCCCTTCCTGTTTGCGACGGGGGGCGAGGAGGGGGTGGGCCTGTGGCGCCGCGTGTTCGACCAAGCGGCGGCGGCGGCCGGGGGAACGGCGTTGCGCGGAAGAGGCGGTGATGACGGGGATGGAGGGGGGGTGAAGCTCCTGGGTACGTCTGCCGGGCGGGGTAGGGTGACCGCGCTGGCGAGCGCGGGGCGCTTCGTCGTAGCTGCGGACGTTTCTTCTTCTTCTCCTCCGTCGTCATCGTCGTCGTCTGGAGGGGGCGGCGGTGGCGGCGGTGGCGGCGCCGCGGCAGCGCCATTCGTTTCCGCGATCGATGTCAACTGGCTCGCTGCTGGCGGGCAAGAAGGTGAGAGGGCGATATGGTGGTTGGTGGTTACGGGACCCCGGACGAGGATGCCCGCGTTGTTTGGTATCATGGTTGACCGCCCGAGCCCCGAGCTCCGGCGGCGGAAGCTATTTAGATCGCTGTGTTCTCTAGGGCGGGCGGGGGTCGTGTGGGGAGAATTTTTTTAGATTGGGGGAGCAAAGAAGCAAACGCCGTGCTCTTTTTGACACCTCTTGAGTCTTACAGCGGTGATGATAACGCCCCGTGATGTCTCTCCCGTCCGGTACACGTCATGTTTCCTCCCCCCGCCTCTCAAATGCCGGGCGCGACCATCATCTCCGCGGGTGTAGTGCACACCGCGCTGTTTGGCACTATAGTGACCATCGGGATATTCAAAGTGGCGTCCGAACGATTCTTGTTTTTTCAAACAGGATGGTTTTTGGGAGGGGTGGGGGGGCTTGGCGCAGGCAGCCAACCAGACCAGTCCAGGTTCTTGCTGCCTCTTGCGTGCGCCCAAACTTCCCCCATCGTGCGCGTCTCTTTCCTTCTCCTTGTTGCTGTTGTTGACCTCTGCCTTCTTACGTATGTTCACGTGCGTTTTATTTTTGGCAGCGGGCATGCAGGGGCTTGTCGGTGACGAGGAGGTCACTTGGCGGGTGTTCAGAGGCGGCGGCGGCAGCGGCGGCAGTGGCGGCAACGGTGGCGATAGCCGAGATGTCGCAATTACCTGCCTCGCTTCGGCCGGGCCGTGCAGAGTGGCGGTCGCAGGCAGCGGCGGAAAGCTGGAGATCTGGGATGTTGAGGCGGCCTGTGCTGGACAAGGTGGCGGTGGTGGTGGTGGCGAGGGCTTTGGGGCTGGCCAGCCGGGAGCGGGAGCGGGGCTTGTTCGAAGACTTGTGAGTGGTGGTCGGATACAGGCGGTATTGGAGAGGCATCTGCCCCTACATAAGAAAGGTTGTGGCAGGAGTACCAGCGACACCAACTTTACGGCTGGCGGCGGTCTTTCCCTACCGCTGTGTGGGTTTTCCTCGCGCGACGATGGTTGTTTTTGCACGAAATGCATATATATATGTACCTCTGCTGCCGTTCATTGGCATAGATGGCTCAACTCTACTAGGGAGAGTCTCAGCGGTGATGTTGTCGTTCTTGTGCGTTGTACATACGCACGACCGTTTGTTACGCCCACGCATTCACACACACACCTCGTAACCTGCAGCACGCCTCACACACACACACACACACTTTGGTTAGGATCTTGGCGATGCGCTGGAGGGAGCGTCAGTGACGAGCATGACCTGGGATGCCGGGGGAACCGATGCCGTCATCGGCTGCGCCGCGGGGGAAGGCGGCGGCATCTGGCACCTGCGTCTACCGTCGCCACCACCCGAGTCGTCGTCGTCGTCGTCGTCTCCTCCGCGCAGACGAGGGGGAGATGGCGCGGACAGGGAGCCGACGATCGCGAGGCTGTGGCCAGGGGGCAACGTCAAGGCCGCGGCGTGAAATGGCTGCCTGGCGGGATCTTTCGGGTGTTGGTGGTGTCGAGGCATACAGCAGCAGTCCAAGGTTGTAAGGTCATCTGTTGCATGTGGTATCGGTGTATCTTGGCCGCGGTGTGTCTGTTCATTTTCGGGCCGCGGTTGTTGTGTTGTCAGGCTTTGGAGCGGATGTATGACCGATCAACTGGTCTCGTACGCAGCCTGTTGTCTGCTCTCGCCTCCCGCGGTGCATTTTTTTTTTTTTTCGCTCGACACTAGTGTTGTGTAATGTCCGCGTTGTTGCTACCGCCCTGCACCTTGCGAAACGTTATTATAATGGTTTTTATTTTATTTTTATTAGATGGAAGCTGGTGCCGTTGTGTGTTGTGTGTTGTGTGTTGTGTGTTGGGTGATTGTGGGTCGTTTGCGGCAGTTCTTACAACCGGCCGCAAGGCTGAGGGAGAGGAGAGGGAAAGGGGAGCGCGTGGAAGGAAGGTACTGCTGCTGTACGCAAGCGCGGCTGAACTTTCTTTCTTTGTCCTGGTTCGTGGTACCTATCTATCCACGGCTGCTTTGCGCGCCGAGAGGCGCGAGATAGAGATGCAAGGAGGCTTTTTCTCTCCCCCCCTCCCCCCCCCCCCCCCCCCCCCCCCCCCCCTTTTTTTTTT